CTGCTCAGCTAAGCTTGACTAGCTAGGTACCTACTCTGCTAGCTGACTAGCTAGGTACCTACTCTGCTAGCTGACTAGCTAGGTACCTACTCTGCTAGCCTGCTAGCGAGGTTACCTACTCTTGCTATCTGACTAGCTAGGTCCCTACTCTCTAGCTACTACTATGTACCACAGGGATAGTACCTGCGCAGCTGACTAGCTAGGTTACCTACTCTGCTAGCTGAACAGCGAGGTACCTTACTCTCTAGCTGACGAGCTAGGTACCTACTCGCTAGCTGACTAGCTGGTACCTACTCTGTCGAGTGACTAGCTATGTAAACCTACTCGTAAGTTTCACTACTTGGATTTCTAGAAAGTAATTAGAAACCAAGTTTGAGAAAAAGCAGCTATCTTACATTTTAGTCATTTAGCAGATGCTCTTATCCAGAGCGACTTACAGGAGCAATTAGGGTTAAGTGCCTTGCTCAAGGGCACATCAACAGATTTTTCACCTAGTCGGCTCGGGGATTAGAACCAGCAACCTTTCGGTTACTGGCACAACGCTCTTAACCACTACGCTACCTGCCGCCATCTTCTGAATCAATTTGTTTCTCCTGTCTTGAAGGTAGAAGTTCTATTTTGTGATCTCTTTGTTGAGAGATGTTCAGTCAGTGAATCAGGTTGTCTCCGTGGTAACCGTACATGCCTTCAAACTAAGGAAAGGTTAGAGGGGCTCTATGCAACACCCTTAAACAATTCCCTTAGGTAAGGGGAAATTATTCCTTAAGGGAAACCCTTAAGGGAAACTTAAGATGTTTTATGCAACCGGGCCCTGCACCTAAATATAAATTGTACCGGCACCAAAAATGAGTACCGGCATCTATTTCAGTCCAAGTCAAGCACTGGAAATGAACGTTATTTTACAAATTAGTCTCCCATCTGTCAGTCATGTGATCCTGTGGTGAGACTGAGTGACCAAGTCCTGTCTCTCTTAGGTGTGTTCAGTGAGTGGTCTTGTCCTGTCTGTCAGGTGTTTCAGTGTATGTCCTGTGTGTGTGTGTTGTCTCAGGTGTTTTCAGTGTATGTCCTGTGTGTGTGTGTTGTCTCAGGTGTTTTCAGTGTATGTCCTGTGTGTGTGTGTTGTCTCAGGTGTTTTCAGTGTATGTCCTGTGTGTGTGTGTTGTCTCAGGTGTTTTCAGTGTATGTCCTGTGTGTGTGTGTTGTCTCAGGTGTGTTTCAGTGAGTGCCATTGCTGTGATGAGGAGCGTGCCCAGAGGCTGCTGATCCGGATCTCTTCATCCTGGGGTCAAACCACTTGTCTGAGGCTGGCTCTGGAGGCTGATGACAAGAGCTTCGTTGCTCACTCTGGGGTTCAGGTAGGTCAAAGGTCATTCAGGGGTTCAGGTAGGTCAAAGGTCACTCTGGGGTTCAGGTCGGTCAAAGGTAATTCTGGGGTTCAGGTAGGTCAAAGGTAATTCTGGGGTTCAGGTAGGTCAAAGGTCACTCTGGGGTTCAGGTAGGTCAAAGGTAATTCTGGGGTTCAGGTAGGTCAAAGGTAATTCTGGGGTTCAGGTAGGTCAAAGGTCACTCTGGGGTTCAGGTAGGTCAAAGGTAATTCTGGGGTTCAGGTAGGTCAAAGGTAATTCTGGGGTTCAGGTAGGTCAAAGGTCACTCTGGAGTTCAGGTAGGTCAAAGGTCATTCTGGGGTTCAGGTAACTCCAGTTATATTATCATAACACTTTTGAACTATATTTAATGAATCACACTTCTCGCAAATATTTTCCCTACACTGCCTTTGGTCTTGTGGCATTTTATTAAAGTAGTGGATTAAACTATTGCTAAAGCAGGTGTTCCCTTATGTGTGTTGTGTAGCCCTGTGTGTGATTGGTCCTGAGTCATCTGTTCTGTATCCCCCAGGCTCTCCTGACCCAGATCTGGTCCTGAGTCGTCTGTTCTGTATCCCCCAGGCTGTCCTGACCCAGATCTGGTCCTGAGTCGTCTGTTCTGTATCCCCCAGGCTCTCCTGACCCAGATTTGGTCCTGAGTCATCTGTTCTGTATCCCCCAGGCTCTCCTGACCCAGATCTGGTCCTGAGTCATCTGTTCTGTATCCCCCAGGCTCTCCTGACCCAGATCTGGTCCTGAGTCATCTGTTCTGTATCCCCCAGGCTCTCCTGACCCAGATCTGGTCCTGAGTCATCTGTTCTGTATCCCCCAGGCTCTCCTGACCCAGATCTGGTCCTGAGTCGTCTGTTCTATATCCCCCAGGCTCTCCTGACCCAGAACTGGTCCTGAGTCATCTGTTCTGTATCCCCCAGGCTCTCCTGACCCAGATCTGGTCCTGAGTCGTCTGTTCTGTATCCCCCAGGCTGTCCTGACCCAGATCTGGTCCTGAGTCGTCTGTTCTGTATCCCCCAGGCTCTCCTGACCCAGATCTGGTCCTGAGTCATCTGTTCTGTATCCCCCAGGCTCTCCTGACCCAGATCTGGTCCTGAGTCATCTGTTCTGTATCCCCCAGGCTCTCCTGACCCAGATCTGGTCCTGAGTCGTCTGTTCTGTATCCCCCAGGCTATCCTGACCCAGATTTGGTCCTGAGTCATCTGTTCTGTATCCCCCAGGCTCTCCTGACCCAGATCTGGTCCTGAGTCATCTGTTCTGTATCCCCCAGGCTCTCCTGACCCAGATCTGGTCCTGAGTCGTCTGTTCTATATCCCCCAGGCTCTCCTGACCCAGAACTGGTCCTGAGTCATCTGTTCTGTATCCCCCAGGCTCTCCTGACCCAGATCTGGTCCTGAGTCGTCTGTTCTGTATCCCCCAGGCTCTCCTGACCCAGATCTGGTCCTGAGTCATCTGTTCTGTATCCCCCAGGCTCTCCTGACCCAGATCTGGTGTGGGGAGCTGGCGGTGGACAATCCTCTGTGGAGGGTGCTGCTATGTATGCTGTTCTTCCCTCTCATCTACACTGGCTTCCTGGGATTCAGGTAACTAACGTCTGATCCCTAACCCCTAATTTGGCCCCTGGGATTCAGGTAACTAACCTCTGATCCCTAACCCCTAATTTGGCCCCTGGGATTCAGGTAACTAACCTCTGATCCCTAACCCCTAATTTGGCCCCTGGGATTCAGGTAACTAACCTCTGATCCCTAACCCCTAATATGGTCCCTGGGATTCAGGTAACTAACCCCTGATCCCTAACCCCTAATTTGGCCCCGGCCCCTGGCCCCTAAGCCCTCTGTGGAGGGTGCTGCTCTGTGCTGTTCTTCCCGCTCATCTACACTGGCTTCCTGGTATTCAGGTGGGTACTGCTGGCCACAACTCTGTAGCAATGTAGTGGTTTACCAGAGATAGGAGGACAGAGTCTGGGTGAGGAGAGGAGAGAATGTCGTCAAACCTCAGGCAGACCACATGGTGGCAGCAAAACCCTATGGTAGAAGACTGAACGGCCATCTTGTTCACTCAGGGAAGTGAATTAACTGTATAATTTACTAAACTCTAGACATGTTCTGGATCTGGATGAGTAATATCCTCTCTAATCCCCCAGGCGTGATGAGTCCATCCATAGAGAGACAGAGAGGAGTGCTGAGCTGCTCACCATGGAGTCATTAACAGGAAGCCAGGCCTGCACCAGGAGAAAGTCTCCTGAACAGTGAGTGTGATTATACACTGAGGGTACGTCCCAAATGGCACCCTATTCCCTATAAAAGTAGCGCACTATAAGGAAAAAGGGTGACATTTCTGATGCATATTGAGTTACATTCTGCTGGTATAAACACTTACCTTACGCCTCACCCCTGACGCCTCACCCCTGACGCCTCACCCCTGACGCTTCACCCCTGACGCTTCACCCCTGACGCCTCACCCCTGACGCCTCACCCCTGACGCCTCACCCCTGACTTCTCACCCTTGCCGTCTGCCCCCTCCCTGACAGGATCCCTCTGGGTCTGAAACCATTGACAGTCTCCACCCGGCTGGTCAGCCTCTTCACCTCTCCTCAGGTAAACCCTTACCCAACCCCTCACCCATGACCTCTGTTGACCTCTCCCCAGGTGAACTTATACTGTTGTTGTCAACCCTTACATGACCCCTGACCTCTGTTGACCTCTCCCCATACAGGTGAAGTTCTACTGGAACATCTTGTCCTACTTCAGCTTCCTGCTGCTGTTCTCTGTGGTGCTGATGATCGACTTCCAGGCCACGCCCTCCTGGAGGGAGGGGCTTCTCTATGTCTGGTTCATCTCATTGGTCTGTGAAGAGGTCCGACAGGTGAGACATCTTGCCCTGTGCACGCACGCACACACACGCACACACACACACACACACGAACACACACACACATTCTATTCTACTTAAAGTCAAAATAGATTGGCCAAACTAGTATAAAGTTAGAAGATGGATGTGTCTACAGTATAAAGTCAGAAGATGGATGTATCTACAGTATTAAGTCAGAAGATGGATGTGTCTACAGTATTAACTATGTGCTGTTTGTTGCCCACAGCTGTTCCATGAGCAAGATGGGTTTGGGTTCCGTAAGAAGGCTGATATGTACATTAACGACATGTGGAACATTCTAGACGTTCTGTCCATCCTGCTCTTCATCATCGGCCTGGCCTTCAGGTGAGCTGCCTCCTCTTCCTCCTTTTTTTCTTCCTCTAACGCTAGCTAGCGTTAAAGATGGACTCCGCTGTAGGGAACGCTAGCTAGCGTTAAAGATGGACTCCGCTGTAGGGAACGCTAGCTAGCGTTAAAGATGGACTCCGCTGTAGGGAACGCTAGCTAGCGTTAAAGATGGACTCCGCTGTAGGGAACGCTAGCTAGCGTTAAAGACGGACTCCGCTGTAGGGAACGCTAGCTAGCGTTAAAGACGGACTCCGCTGTAGGGAACGCTAGCTAGCATTAAAGATGGACTCCGCTGTAGGGAACGCTAGCTAGCGTTAAAGATGGACTCCGCTGTAGGGAACGCTAGCTAGCGTTAAAGACGGACTCCGCTGTAGGGAACGCTAGCTAGCGTTAAAGACGGACTCCGCTGTAGGGAACGCTAGCTAGCGTTAAATATGGACTCCGCTGTAGGGAACGCTAGCTAGCGTTAAAGATGGACTCCGCTGTAGGGAACGCTAGCTAGCGTTAAAGATGGACTCCGCTGTAGGGAACGCTAGCTAGCGTTAAAGATGGACTCCGCTGTAGGGAACGCTAGCTAGCGTTAAAGATGGACTCCGCTGTAGGGAACGAGAGATGATCTTATACTACTGATCTACTGTATATTTCTCTTGCAGATTGACCACCAGGTTGTTCTACGCAGGGAAGGTCATCCTGTGTATCGACTTCATCATTTTCTGTCTTCGTCTCATGGCCATCTTCATCATCAGTAAAACTCTGGGCCCCAAGATCATCATCGTCAGGAGAATGGTGAGAGGATGGATTGATAGACATTAGCTCCATGTTATTGTGTCTATTGTGGGACGCTTAACTGTAGTTGAATATCAACAACCAACCTACCACACCAGTTATGTGAATAAATGGTATGATTCATAATGCATTCAAACGGATAAACCAGCGTGCGAGTATCGGCATCACCACTCGTTACTTAAATTACACATGTTCTAAGATACGTTATGTGATTATTACAAAATATTCTAAGTCTACAGTGTCTATCAACTAAATAAGACCTACGTGTTTCTACATGTCTTATAGAATAATTTTACAAAGTGAAAACTATGTGCATCTAAACACACAGAAGTTTACAAGTTCTCAAAGAGAATTCACTTCCCTTTTAACCAAATCCAAGCAGGAACTCATCACCAACTTCAATTGACTTTGAACTGTTGTTGAAAACAGAAGGCTCACCACACACGGATTCTAATCACATTACGACAGGACACAGGAACGGTCCCATCTGATAAGCAAACAGCCCAACAGACAGATTCAACCTGGTCTCTCTAAAGTACATAATTCGGAATACATACAATGCATTAAAGGACCCCCCATTATGCATTAAAGGACCCCCCCCCCAGAGGAAGTTGCCACCATTATTTCGACATAATGTCTGTCCCAGTGCGGAAAATGCTGATTTAGTTCCACCCTCTGAACACAGCTTCCACTAGATACCACAACCACAAAGTCCAAATTGGCTAAATCGTAAAAATATATGAAAAAATAATAACTTTTTGGTCTTAATTTAAGGTTAGCAGTGTGGCTAAGGTTAGCAGTGTGGCTAAGGTTAGGGTTACGGTTAGGTTTAAAATCAGATTTTAAGAAAATAAATTGTAGAAATATGCACGGTTTATTACTTTGTGGCTGTGGTAACTAGTGACGACCTCCGAACACTGACATATGGTTCCTTATAAATAATGATTAATCGGGTGTGCACATCTCCACCTTCCTCCCTGTACACAGCCCATACGGTCTCTGGTGCAGCCCACTCTCCAGGGTAGCTTTGCTAATCGCTACGACAAGGCAGAGGACCATCCACGCTCCTCCTTCCTCTTCTGCAATGGAATTGAATGATCAAGAATGAATGTATAGTTTAGAGCAGTGGCGGCTCCTGAAAAAATTCTCAGGGGGGGCAATTTTTCTGATGATTTAGGTGACCTACACACATTTAAAAAAAGATATGTCCAGCAACAACATGAAGACAGGGGCAGCATATAAGTCAATACTGATATACACATTACTTGCTTCAAAAAGGCCTCATGGTTGAATTGGAAATATGTGCACCTGAGCAAGCAGGAGCTTTTGATAGAGGCTACTGAAAACATTGATGCAAGTTATTGGTAATAAGACATTTTTATAGACTTCCATATTCTGCCCTCTTGTATAGATTTGTGAAAATGAACAGTGATAGACATTTTGCCTGAAAACAGAATTTGAAAATAATTTCTAGAAAAGGTAAACACAGCTATCTGTATGGCTTTGTAAATATGAACAACCATATTCTGGCCAATTGTATAGATTTGTAAAAAAAATTGTTTACTTTTTTTAAAATGAAAAATAACTATTTTAAACAACATCAACTGTGAACTGATTTGGGCGTGTGTGTGTTAAAGAGACAGACAGGGAGGGACAAAGAGAGAGAGAGGCTACATTACTTGTACTGAAACTGTTCTCTTCTCTCTTTCAATGCAGCAAAGCGGTCAATGACTTTCTCATTGAAATCAGGCATGCTGAGGACTAGTTTACTAGTTACTTTTTAGCTTGCTGCATGATCAAATTCAGCTGATGCGCATAGCAATGCACGTAATGGCCTTTCTTGAAATGCTCACGCACCTTTTGCCTTCTCTCGCCTCATCACACTGGCTCCATCGTAAGCTTGCGCAATGAGTTTGACTTTCACGTCGTCGGCAAAAAGACCGTTCAGTCTCTCCAAAAGCACACTGGCGATTGAGACTGAGGTTGATTCCGAGATGGGAAGGAACTCAAAAAAGCGCTCCTGCACTTTGTGGTTGTCTCTTTGATGTGAACTTCTTTCAAAGAGACAATCGAGTTGCACTGAACGCTATAGCCATCTTGATAGTAGTACGTGAATTGATTGATGCTGCTACCCGCTCTTTTCTTAGTTACGTTCATGGTTACGTTACGTATGACGAAAGCGCGTAAGTGCAAGCCCTCAGAAACCCATAGAGATTGTATTGAAAGCTCTGAAATTTGAAAAAAATAGATTTTACATGGGAGTCTATGACAGACTTCTGGGCGATTTTCAACCTGACTGAAATCGCCCCAAAAGGGGGGGGGGGGCCATTTGAACACGACTTTAGCCTGATTGGACATTTAGTGGCAGTGTGGCACTGTGGCAGATCAGACGTCTAGATTACAACACTGATAACTACTGTTGCCGTGATATAATTGATTAGAAAAAAAATCCCTTCCTTTTCCCGTTTGGCAGTGCGTCGCCCATATCGCCCCATTGAACACACCGCCCCTGGTTTAGAGATAATGCTGGAGTTTTACCGGCAAAGCTAAAGGCTAGCTAACCTACTCCCTGGACCAATAAAGCTAGCTAGCTAGCCACCATTGTTCCTGTACCCAAGAAAGCAAAGGTAACTGAACTAAATGACTATCGCCCTGTAGCACTCACCTCTGTCATCATGAAGTGCTTTGAGAGGCTAGTTAAGGATCATATCACCTCTACCTTACCTGTCACCCTGGACCCACTTCAAATTGCTTAACGCCCCAATAGATCCACAGACGATGCAATCGCCATCACACTGCACACTGCCCTATCCCATCTGGACAAGAGGAATACCTATGTAAGAATGCTGTTCATTGACTATAGCTCAGCATTCAACACCATAGTACCCTCCAAGCTCATCATTAAGCTCGAGGCCCTGGGTCTGAACCCTGCCCTGTGCAACTGGGTCCTGGACTTCCTGACGGGCCGCCCCCAGGTAGTGAAGGTAGGAAACAACATCTCCACCTCGCTGATCCTAAACACTGGGGCCCCACAAGGGTGCGTACTCAGCCCCCTCCTGTACTCCCTGTTCACCCATGACTGCGTGGCCAAGCACGCCTCCAACTCAATTATCAAGTTTGCAGACGACAAAACAGTAGTAGGCTTGATTACCAACAATGTTGAGACAGCCTACAGGGAGGAGGTGAGGGCTCTGGGAGTGTGGTGCCAGGAAAATAACCTCTCACTCAATGTCAGCAAAACAAAGGAGATGATCGTGGACTTCAGGAGACAACAGAGGGTGCACCCCCCTATCCACGGGACCGCAGGGCTCTCCAGAGGGTGGTGCGGTCTGCCAAACGCACCACCCTCATGTGTATATACTGTATTCTATAATATTCTACCGTAACTTAGTCCATGCCGCTCTGTCATTGCTTGCCCATATATTCTTAAATTCCATTCCTTACTAGATTTGTGTGTATTGGGTATATTTTACATTTTAGTCATTTTGCAGACGCTCTTATCCAGAGCCACTTACAGTTAGTGAGTGCATACATTTTTCATACTGGCCCCCCGTGGGAAACAAACCCACAACCCTGGCGTTGCAAGCGCCATGCTCTACCAACTGAACTACAGGGAACTGCTAAACGTCTGCTAAACACGTGTATGTGACAAATACAATTTGATTTGATTTGAGGTAGCAGGGTTGCCAGGTCTAGCAAAAATGACCACTCAAAACCAGCCCACAAGGCCTGAAAACCAGGCCCATTTTTCTTCTTCTTCCCAGCAAGAAATATCATGAGGTGCACCCGTCCTTTCACGATTTCAACTAGTTACCACAAGCACAAAGTCATAATTGGCTGTATCGTAACAATTAATGAAAACAAAAATTTGCTTTTGGTCTTAATTTAAGGTTAGGGTTAGGCATAAGGTTAGCAGTGTGGTTAAGGTTAGGGTTAGGCATAAGGTTAGCAGTGTGGTTAAGGTTAGGGTTAGGCATAAGGTTAGCAGTGTGGTTAAGGTTAGGGTTAGGCATAAGGTTAGCAGTGTGGTTAAGGTTAGGGTTAGGCATAAGGTTAGCAGTGTGGTTAAGGTTAAACTAGTGACGACCTCCTCTCACTCACTCAGCTTCCTGCTCTGCCTGCAGTTCTCTTTCAACACACTCACTCCCCTCCAACCCTCCCTACCACTCACTCATTTATTCATCAACAGCTTGCCTTACTGCCTGGTAGTCAGTAGCAGCAGATCACAGTGTAATTAATAGGTTATTTAAAATACCATGGCGGCCAAGGTGCAATTTAGAAGTAGCCCAAAAACCTGCCACGAATACATTTTCACCCGCAACACCGTTTTCAAATTAGTCGAATTTGCGAGAAAAACCACATACATGGCAACCCTGCCAGGTAGCTACCGGTAACTATTAGCAACTGTGGATAATTGATTCCAATGTTGTTTCATGCAAAAGTTCCGTTGACCCTTCCATTCCGGAAGTAATTCATCCATTCATTGTAGCTATTGTCGCTCTTTAGAGTTTATATTTTCTCTCGTGTAAATTAACTTGTGGAATTAATGGATTGCTCATTATACTAATAAAGTCTGATTTGATCCAAAAATATGGTAGTCAGTTTAAAAATGGTTAAGAGTACAAGATTGTGTACATATCTGGCTGTGTTGGCAAAATCACAACATATCCCATGGAGCTAAGCGGGGAAAGGCTGCCCATTGTCACCGTTCCTAGACCAGTCAGAAACGTCCAGCTAACCCTGCCGGTGGATCTCAAACGTCCAGCTAACCCTGCCGGTGGATCTCAAACGTCCAGCTAACCCTGCCGGTGGATCTCAAACGTCCAGCTAACCCTCCCGATGGATCTCAAACGTCCAGCTAACCCTCCCGATGGATCTCAAACGTCCAGCTAACCCTCCCGATGGATCTCAAACGTCCAGCTAACCCTCCCGATGGATCTCAAACGTCCAGCTAACCCTCCCGATGGATCTCAAACGTCCAGCTAACCCTCCCGGTGGATCTCAAACGTCCAGCTAACCCTCCCGATGGATCTCAAACGTCCAGCTAACCCTCCCGGTGGATCTCAAACGTCCAGCTAACCCTCCCGATGGATCTCAAACGTCCAGCTAACCCTCCCGATGGATCTCAAACGTCCAGCTAACCCTCCCGATGGATCTCAAACGTCCAGCTAACCCTCCTGATGGATCTCAAACGTCCAGCTAACCCTGCTGGTGGATCTCAAACGTCCAGCTAACCCTGCCGGTGGATCTCAAACGTCCAGCTAACCCTGCTGGTGGATCTCAAACGTCCAGCTAACCCTGCCGGTGGATCTCAAACGTCCAGCTAACCCTGCCAATGGATCTCAAACATCCAGCTAACCCTGCCGGTGGATCTCAAACGTCCAGCTAACCCTGCCGATGGATCTCAAACGTCCAGCTAACCCTGCCGATGGATCTCAAACGTCCAGCTAACCCTGCCGGTGGATCTCAAACGTCCAGCTAACCCTCCCGATGGATCTCAAACGTCCAGCTAACCCTCCCGATGGATCTCAAACGTCCAGCTAACCCTCCCGATGGATCTCAAACGTCCAGCTAACCCTCCCGATGGATCTCAAACGTCCAGCTAACCCTCCCGATGGATCTCAAACGTCCAGCTAACCCTGCCGGTGGATCTCAAACGTCCAGCTAACCCTGCCGGTGGATCTCAAACGTCCAGCTAACCCTGCCGGTGGATCTCAAACGTCCAGCTAACCCTGCCGATGGATCTCAAACGTCCAGCTAACCCTGCCGATGGATCTCAAACGTCCAGCTAACCCTGCCGTTGGATCTCAAACGTCCAGCTAACCCTCCCGATGGATCTCAAACGTCCAGCTAACCCTGCCGGTGGATCTCAAAACTGAACTCGGATCCGCGTTAAGTAGCAATGATATCCTTCACCACCGTCGCGACCGATACTGTAGCTCGAACCATGATGACAACAAAACAATACATCATTTTCATTTTCAAGTTTCTTTTCAGACAATTTCTTAGTTACATGATTGTATAACTAGCAAAGGAGTTTTGAAGTTGAGAGTAGTTTAGCCAGGGAAAACCGGAACAGGATATAGCTGGGCGCGTTCAGGAAAACCGGAACAGGATATAGCTGGGCGCGTTCAGGAAAACCGGAACAGGATATAGCTGGGCGCGTTCAGGAAAACCGGAACAGGATATAGCTGGGCGCATTCAGGACAGTGATTGTAGTTTTTATGCCCTGATATCAGGAGTTTGATTAAACAATTCAGAGACTGAAATGAATACATCAGGTGACAAATATTTAAGGAGAGCGAATCGATTTACAATCTGGAAATTAGCTGTAACTGTCAATAGTAAAACAAAGCTTAAAACGATGTTTGAGTGAACCCTGAATCCAGGAAATGAATGGTGAAGTCGCTTCCAGACTTGGTAGACTCCTCCTCCTCACCACTCTATGTAGCTAGCTTGTTAGCTATTTGGCTAACTAACCGTTTACACATTGGTGTTTGGAGACACAGATAGCTATTTAGCACAGGTAGTCCAGTCTGTCTTCCATCTGTTAATATGGCCGTGTGGGAACCCTGACCCTATAAAGGTGAGTATCAATTTAACCTTTTGTTTTTTGAAAATTATTTCTCGCTGATATGAAAAATAAGGTCCTTATGTTTCCCAAACCGTACCGCAAGAGATATACATTTACATTTAAGTCATTTAGCAGACGCTCTTATCCAGAGTGACTTACAGTTAGTGAATACAGAGATGTAGGGAGATTAGGGTTCAGAGATGTGTGTTAATGTTCAGACCGAGAGGTCTTAACAAAACAAGACGCCTTCGTCCAATGACTTCGTACAGAAGACGCCTTCGTCCAATGACTCCGTACAGAAGACGCCTTCGTCCAATGACTCCGTACACAAGACGCCTTCGTCCAATGACTCCGTACAGAAGACGCCTTCGTCCAATGACTCCGTACAGAAGACGCCTTCGTCCAATGACTCCGTACAGAAGACGCCTTCGTCCAATGACGCCGTACAGGAGACGCCTTCGTCCAATGACTCCGTACAGAAGACGCCTTCGTCCAATGACTCCGTACAGAAGACGCCTTCGTCCAATGGACTCCGTACAGAAGACGCCTTCGTCCAATGACTCCGTACAGAAGACGCCTTCGTCCAATGACTCCGTACAGAAGACGCCTTCGTCCAATGACTCCGTACAGAAGACGCCTTCGTCCAATGACTCCGTACAGAAGACGCCTTCGTCCAATGACTCCGTACAGAAGACGCCTTCGTCCAATGACTCCGTACAGAAGACGCCTTCGTCCAATGACTCCGTACAGAAGACGCCTTCGTCCAATGACTCCGTACAGAAGACGCCTTCGTCCAATGACTCCGTACAGAAGACGCCTTCGTCCAATGACTCCGTACAGAAGACGCCTTCGTCCAATGACTCCGTACAGAAGACGCCTTCGTCCAATGACTCCGTACAGAAGACGCCTTCGTCCAATGACTCCGTACAGAAGACGCCTTCGTCCAATGACTCGTATGTGTAATGGAACTGAACTAACCCTAACCCCCAAGCCATAAGATAGTTAACCAAATAGCTATCTGGGCTACAGTGGCGGTCGGTGCCGTTTAACAACTCTGGCCAAGGCTTTCGACTCTGTCAATCACCGCATTCTTATTGGCAGACTAAATAGCCTTGGTTTCTCAAATGACTGCCTTCTCAGATAGAATTCAATGTGTCAAATCGGAGGGCCTGTTGTCTGGACTTCTGGCAGTCTCTATGGGGGTGCCACAGGGTTCAATTCTCGGGCCGACTCTATTCTCTGTGTATATCAATGATGTCGCTCTTGCTACTGGTGACTCTCAGATCCACCTCTACGCAGACGACACCATTTTGTATACATCTGGCCCTTCATTGGACACTGTGTTAACAAACCTCCAAACGAGCTTCAATGCCATACAGCACTCCTTCCGTAGCCTCCAACTGCTCTTAAACGCTAGTAAAACTAAATGCATGGTCTTCAATCGAACGCTGCTTGCACCCGCCCGCCCGACTAGAATCACTACTCTCGGCGGGTCTGACTTAGAATATGTGGACAACTACAAATACCTAGGTGTCTGGTTAGACTGTAAACTCTCCTTCCAGACTCATATTAAGCATCTCCAATCCAGAGTTAAATCTAGAATCGGCTTCCTATTTCGCAACAAAGCCTCCTTCACTCATGCTGCCAAACATGCCCTCGTTAAACTGACTATCCTACCGATCCTTGACTTCGGTGATGTCAATTACAAAATAGCCTCCAACACTCTACTCAGCAAATTGGATGTAGTCTATCACAGTGCCATCCGTTTTGTCACCAAAGCCCCATATACTACCCACCATTGTGACCTGTATGCTCTCGTTGGCTGGCCATCACTACATATTCGTCGCCAAACCCACTGGCTCCAGGTCATCTATAAATCACTGCTAGGCAAATCCCAGCCTTAGCTCATTGGTCACCATAGCAGCACCCACCCGTAGTCTGCGCTCCAGCAGGTATATCTCACTTTTCATCCCCAAAGCCAACACCTCCTTTGGCCGCCATTCCTTCCAGTTCTCTGCTGCTAATGACTGGAACAAACTGCAAAAATCTCTGAAGCTGGAGACTCTTATCTCCCTCACTAACTTTAAGCATCAGTTGTCAGAGCAGCTTACCGATCACTGCACCTGTACACAGCCCATCTGTAATTAGCCCACCCAACTACCTCATCACCATATTGTTATTTATTTTGCTAATTTGCACCCCAGTATCTCTATTTGCACATCATCTTCTGCACATCTATCACTCCAGTGTTAATACTAAATTGTAATTATTTTGCACTATGGCCTATTTATTGCCTTACCTCCATAACTTACTACATTTGCACACACTGTATATATATTTTCTGTTGTATTTTTGACTTTATGTTTTGTTTTACCCCATATGTAACTCTGTGTTGTTTTTATCGCACTGCTTTGCTTTATCTTGGCCAGGTCGCAGTTGTAAATGAGAACTTGTTCTCAACTGGCTTACCTGGTTAAATAAAGTTGAAATAAATAAATAAAGATGAGGGAGGATGATTATATTTTTTATGAGAATGGCCTTATTTCTATTACAGCATATTGGATGACAGTCATTCATATTCCATTCACCCAGCTCAATGTAACATCGATAGGTTTAGGCTACTACATGATACTAACATTTTCCCTGTACCCATCATGAGGTTGCTACAACCTAGCATGAATGAAAGTTTACAACGTAGGTGCACAGGTCGAGAGAATTTTGAGTAATCAAGGTGACAGACAGTGACACATTCAATACCGCCTTGCACACTCTTTCCTGCATCGAACAAATTCAGGTATGTTTATCCCAGTTTTGTTACGTTTGCTTCCGTTTAAGAAACCTTTTTCAACAGAATCGGCGGAATGAATACACCCCTGATCAAACGCAAACAGTTGACTTTCATAGCAGCCACATAAAAACAGCATGATCCCTTTGCTCGTTGTATATATAATTCCTTCCCGAAACTATCTACGCGCTCTCCTCCTCTCACCTTTTCCCTGCGCTTGTGGACTTCAGTGCACAACACATCAGCTGTCTGTGACCAGGCGAAAAAACCTTTCCAAGCCAAACCATCATAACCGCTAACCGCTACACACAGCCTACATCGTTGTCACCATATTAGCTAAAGTAACGTCATAGTCAACATAGCTACTACAACTAACGTGTTAGTAAACCCGCTACGATCATGCAGTACAGTGTACACTTAGCAAGCAGTTTAGCAGTTACACCGGCGGGCCCAGGTGGCAATTTTTTTATTATTATTATTATTATTATTTTATTTTTTTCACCTTTATTTAACCAGGTAAACCAGTTGAGAACAAGTTCTAATTTACAACTGCGACCTAGCCAAGATAAAGCAAAGCAGTGCGATAAAAACAACAACACAGAGTTACATATGGGGTAAAACAAAACAAAGTAAAAAATACAACAGAAATACATATATAAAACCAAAAGCTTATCTTGACTTGGAAGAGTTCCAGTGTTGGATAGCCATAGCCAGCTAGCTAACATAGCATCCCTCTCTGTTTGAGCCTGGTGTTTGAGTAGGCTAAACTAGCTAGCTGCATTTGCTAGTTAAGTGAAAGTTAAAAAAAATTCAATCAAATATACAGTGGGGAAAAAAAGTATTTAGTCAGCCACCAATTGTGCAAGTTCTCCCACTTAAAAAGATGAGAGAGGCCTGTAATTTTCATCATAGGTACACGTCAACTCTGACAGACAAAATGAGAAAAAAAAATCCAGAAAATCACATTGTAGGATTTTTTATGAATTTATATGCAAATTATGGTGGAAAATAAGTATTTGGTCAATAACAAAAGTTTCTCAATACTTTGTTACATACCCTTTGTTGGCAATGACACAGGTCAAACGTTTTCTGTAAGTCTTCACAAGGTTTTCACACACTGTTGCTGGTATTTTGGCCCATTCCTCCATGCAGATCTCCTCTAGAGCAGTGATGTTTTGGGGCTGTCGCTGGGCAACACAGACTTTCAACTCCCTCCAAAGATTTTCTATGGGGTTGAGATCTGGAGACTGGCTAGGCCACTCCAGGACCTTGAAATACTTCTTACGAAGCCACTCCTTCGTGGCCCGGGCGGTGTGTTTAGGATCATTGTCATGCTGAAAGACCCAGTCACGTTTCATCTTCAATGCCCTTGCTGATGGAAGGAGGTTTTCAATCAAAATCTCACGATACATGGCCCCATTCATTCTTTCCTTTACACGGATCAGTCGTCCTGGTCCCTTTGCAGAAAAACAGCCCCAAAGCATGATGTTTCCACCCCCATGCTTCACAGTAGGCATGGTGTTCTTTGGATGCAACTCAGCATTCTTTGTCCTCCAAACACGACGAGTTGAGTTTTTACCAAAAAGTTCTATTTTGGTTTCATCTGACCATATGACATTCTCCCAATCCTCTTCTGGATCATCCAAATGCACTCTAGCAAACTTCAGACGGGCCTGGACATGTACTGGCTTAAGCAGGGGGACACGTCTTGCACTGCAGGATTTGAGTCCCTGGCGGCGTAGTGTGTTACTGATGGTAGGCTTTGTTACTTTGGTCCCAGCTCTCTGCAGGTCATTCACTAGGTGTGGTTCTGGGATTTTTGCTCACCGTTCTTGTGATCATTTTGACCCCACGGGGTGAGATCTTGCGTGGAGCCCCAGATCGAGGGAGATTATCAGTGGTCTTGTATGTCTTCCATTTCCTAATAATTGCTCCCACAGTTGATTTCTTCAAACCAAGCTGCTTACCTATTGCAGATTCAGTCTTCCCAGCCTGGTGCAGGTCTACAATTTTGTTTCTGGTGTCCTTTGACAGCTCTTTGGTCTTGGCCATAGTGGAGTTTGGAGTGTGACTGTTTGAGGTTGTGGACAGGTGTCTTTTATACTGATAACAAGTTCAAACAGGTGCCATTAATACAGGTAACGAGTGGAGGACAGAGGAGTCTCTTAAAGAAGAAGTTACAGGTCTGTGAGAGCCAGAAATCTTGCTTGTTTGTAAGTGACCAAATACTTATTATCCACCATAATTTGCAAATAAATTCATTAAAAATCCTACAATGTGATTTTCTGGAATTTTTTCTCTCTCAATTTGTCTGTCATAGTTGACGTGTACCTATGATGAGAATTACAGGCCTCTCTCATCTTTTTAAGTGGGAGTACTTGCACAATTGGTGGCTGACTAAATACTTTTTTTCCCCACTGTAGCTATGTCTCTCTCTCTTGCGCGCTTCTACTAATTTTGGAAGAAATTAATTTGTTCAAAACTGTTCAACTATTGTCTTTCTCTCTCTTTATGCACTGCAGTGCTAGCTAGTTGTAGTTTATGCTTTCAGTACTAGATTCATTCTCTTATCCTTTGATTGGGTGGACAACATGTCAGTTCATGCCGCAAGAGCTCTGATAGTTTGGAGGACATCCTCCGGAAGTTGTCATAATTACTGTGTAAGTCTATTGAAGTGGGTGAGAACCATGAGCCTCCTAGGTTCTGTATTGAAGTCAATGTACCCATTGAAAAACAGTGCGTTTTAATCAATTATTCGGTGACATGTGAATATATTTAGTATAGTTTTTTCTAAAAATGATAATCTTTTTAATGTTTTCACTATTTTTATGGAATTCACTGAGGAAGATGGTCCTCCCCTTCCTCCTCTGAGGAGCCTCCACTGATATGCATTGACCCCCTTTGCACTGCTACTGTCTATTATCTATCCTGTTGTCTAGTCACTTTACCCCTCCCTACAGTATACTGCTGCTACTGTCTATTATCTATCCTGTTGCCTAGTCACTTTACCCCTACCTACAGTATACTGCTGCTACTGTCTATTATCTATCATGTTGTCTAGTCACTTTACCCCTACCTACAGTATACTGCTGCTACTGTCTATTATCTATCCTGTTGTCTAGTCACTTTACCCCTACCT